GTGTAGTTGCTCAGATTGTCACAGATTTGGCCACTAGGAGCCCCTTCAACCTGGTTTCTGTGTCTTTTTGACATGTCCTCATCATTTTTTAGTACCTCCTTACTTACTGGCACCACAACATTCTTCAGGTGCATCTGATATTTTTTCTGCCCCTGGAATTGGCCATTTCAAAATAGACCAAATCTGAATGTAAAAAATGAAAACATTCAAGCACTAGAGAAAACATGGGTGGAAGATCTTATAACAAGGGAGTGAGGAAAGCCTCTGACTGTAGCTCAGAATTGCCAACTCCAATCATAAAAAAAAAAGGATAAATAACACAAACACATAGTTTGTAGAAATAAAAAACGAAAATGGCTCACAAACATATGAAAAGATTCTTACCCTCACTTATAAGATAAATGAAAGGTAAAATTACCCTACAACATGAAAAGTTTGTAAACACTTCATTGGATGGACTGCAGAGAGACAGGCGGTCTCATGCATTGCTGGTGGGAGGATAAAACAGTACAACTTCCATAACAGAGCTTTTGGGAAGAGCTAAACACATGGCAGACAGATTTACCAGTAATCGCACAGTTAGGAAGATAAACTTCCACAAATAAACAGCACATGCACAAGGTTATTTATTGCCACATTGTAATAGTGAAAGATTGGACACAACCCAAATGTTCATCATTAGAAGCCTGATTGTATAACTGGAACACCCACACAATGGAATACTGTGTGGTGCTTAAAAAAAAAGGATTGTCTCTATGTACTAAAGTGTAGTAATTTTTAGAATTTGTAGGACATTTCACAAAACATTTTGGCCTTTTTTCTTCAGAAAGTCACCATCCCAGCCAGTCGCCAAAAAAAAAAAAAAAAAAAAAAAAAAGTCACCATCATATGGGATTCTGGGAAGATGATAGTAATGGTGCATTATTTTTGAATTGCCCCAAATGACTGCATAAAAACAGAACTTGAATAGTATCTATAGCAAAACCAGTTTGCTGGAGAATGATAATGAGCTTCAGACAACCAAATTTACTAC